GGAGTCAAGTTGTACATTCTGGTCATTTCACGAAGAATAGGAAGGCTTACTAAGTCAACGATTGCATTGTCGTAAACATAGCTGGCGTTTGGCCGCTCCATTGATTCCAGCAGAAACATTGTAACCTGAAATTAAGTGGTGTTAGAAAAACTTGTTGATATCAACCACATATTCGTTGATCAGACCTTGAAATTTGGAGTGTTCCGCTTCATAAATTGTTCTGAGTTTTTGAGTTTTTTGTCGAGTCCTTGAACATCTGTAGCTTTGAAGCATTTAACATTGTTTTCAGCATCCAGTACACAAAACGTCAGCTCAGAACCATCATCAATGTTTAAGACTATTGAATGATGAAATATGTTTGAAGCCCGTCGGAGATCATTCACGTTTTGATCAATGTTTCCTTTCATTATCATCATTGCGAGGCTTTTGAGGTTCTGTACAGTGAAGCTATCTGCGTTCGAGTCCTTTGTCTCTTGAGTCCCGATGAGCAATACGCCATCAATGTTGAGATGTAATTTTTTATTATCTATTTGGTTCAAGCATAAATCAGTATCCGCTAAAGAACAAGATTGATAGAATCCACAACGGATGTGCATTCTATCAACCTTGTCCTTAAAACATTGCAATATGGTATATCTCACAGTTTTCAAGTGAATCGTACGTTGTATAGCTTAATGAGTCGCCAAATACACGGGATGCAATGGTACACACATACCATTCGGTGAACATAGGGAATATAGAAATCATTGAAACATCCTAGAAAAAATAATACAAAAATGATTGATTGTAAGTTAGTTTATGAAACCGTAGCATTCATGATGGTCAAATTTACTAGAATATTGCTTGACTTATTTAGAAAAGGATCTTCTGACCAGCACTCCTCACAATGCTGAGTAACAGTTTCATTATTCGAGCACTATTTTGCACCAATTTGCAACTGCTCGACTATTCTGTTTTATTTCTGAGCATTACCGTCGACGAAATGACGATCATCAACTTCAATCAGTTTCTCATATCTTTCCTCTATTGGCTGTCTTCGTGGTCTCGGTGGTTCTGCTCGAGTTTGATCTACATCCTCAATCCACCTGTAACCAACGGGTTCCAATCCTTTCCAGATAGACCCGAAGACACACAAAAAAAAAACATGTTTTGTTTCGCTCCGTTTCTCCCTTCAAGTAACCATTCCAATGGAGTCCCATGATCGATAGTTCAATACAGGCGAATGTTGTCGCCGATAGACAACAGGACACGTTTCCAATGCTAGTTATGTAGCACGGCTGGATTATCGGGTCCTGATGACCAACAATCAATACGAAACTATCGATTTTAAATTGGCTCACTACTTGACTAGCCTATTGGTCCCAAGCAAATCGATTAACGTAGCCCATTCTAGTCGAAATTCTAGTACTACACTATGTTTGTTTTGATTCGCTATGAAAGTTTGACAGATAAAAAGAGGGGTTTGTGGATTTTCTTATGTTTCGAGGGGTGCATAGATTAGCTTGGGACCGAAGAGAGTACCAGAGCTGAGCCAAAAAGTTGAGCACGTTTTTTCGGGACCTTCTAATCTTAGAGTTACCTCTATGTGATGACTGTAACCGTTTGCGCAATCGATCATGGAAGTGAGAGTGATTATTTAATTAGGGTAACTTAAAAACAAAATTAGGCAAACTGAATTATTAAACTATTTGAATTATATAAACAGATTTATTTTACTACTAAAAACCCCAACAGAAATTAAAATAATTAATGATAAAAGATGGTGGTCGATGCCACAAGTTAATGTACTTTTAATTTCTGTTCCTTATAGCTAAGAAAACAACTAAACCTAACGCGCCATACAAAAATCACTCTCAAGAAACGAAACTAGGTAGGGTAGAATAACCGTCACAACGAAATTCACCACTGGCCGGCGCCGGTGGTGTAGTGGTAAGCGTGACTGCTTTCTAACACCCCGATGGGTCTGGGTTCAATCCCAGCTGAGGTCGGTGGGATTTTTCTGAGGCATAAAAATCTCTGGTCACGTCTTCCTTTGGAAGGGAAGTAAAGCCGTTGGTCCCGGCCCATGTGTGTTGTGAATGGGTGCGATATCCTACGCAGGTGTGGAGCTGCCTTCCTGCACATTTGATTGCCGTCAATGGATGGCAATCGATGTCCGTCGGTGATTGGCACTAGATTGCGGAACAGAGACCGACGTTAAATAAAGGAAAAAGGAATTCACCGCTGAATAGGTACAAGGTTGATCGCTACTAACGAGACCGTGCGTTTGCTGAATACCCGGTACGGAGGAAATGGACTAGATGCGTTGTATGGTGAGAGAGATTGGCTGGATGTGAGTGCGAGAGTCGCCGATATAAAAGGAGTGCCACACATGTGGGGAGGCCTCTTTTTTGGATTCGCTGATAGCGATTTGATGAGGTGGAAGATCGCGGAATGGTGTCTTTTGGACCGAAAGCGCGGCTATTTGGACCGGCAGTGATTGTCTGGTACCGCTAGAGGTCCGGTAGCGTGACGCATGCCCGATTCAGTTTTTGTGCGACTTCCCCTCGGAAAAATCCACTTCTTGTGCACCAGTGATACAGACAAACTAGTGTCCGCTTGAGTCCGCCATGACCGCCCGTTAACACACGGTCCCGCTACACTGTCGTCGATCATCCCACGGGGGTGACGATACCTCGTCGAACGTGCTATCATCGACCAAGAGTGATAAAGTCCAGACTTTCCAGCGCTCTCCACCAACGGCAATACCCCACTGAAACCGCCCCGAAGCCACCACGACCCCAGCGTTCACGAAACCGCTCACCAGTACCGGTGCGATCGGCGCATCGCACTCGTAAGTTCATCGCTCACCATCACCGTGATCATGAGATTAAGTTCGAAGCAGCTGTACCACCACCATCGTGACCGGCGAGTCGCACGCTAAGTCCACCCATGTCTAACGGTTTATCAGTCCGACCGAGATCTTCAAGGCACCCACCCGTCGAACGGCCGCAGCGAATGCTAGCCAACGAAAATGTATCGTGTGAAATTATACAAATAATGCATAGATGAATTCCACCACGTTTTTCTCTTAATACATCCAACTCGTTTACTGTGAGGTCTATTTGTGTAAGGTAAGTGCCGATATATCGTTTTTTGCCCTAGTTTGCCCTGAGAGAGCTAGCTGTGGTGTTTGACCGCAGATTAGAGCGGAGTAGGAAACCCGTTTGTTTCACACCGCTGGATCTTTGATGTGAATATGATTCCAAGACAGGGCACACCTCAACGTAGAAGAGTTTACCATATGGATAATATTGGAAATGAGATGGGTGGATTATTGAATCGCAGTCAGTTGGCAGCACGGCAGGCAGTACCTAAAGAGCTACCCGAGTTCAACGGCAACCCATAGGACTGGCCTCTTTTCTATTCCATGTTTAGTTCGTCTACAGACATGTGTGGGTTCGCGAACAAGGAGAACATGTTACGACTGCGAAAATGTCTCAAAGGTCGAGCGATGGAAGCTGCTCGATGTCGGTTGTTGCATCCGTCGAATGTGGAGGGAGTGATGTTGACCTTGAAGATCACCAAGCAGATTCGAGCACTGCCTCCTCCGAGCATTGATAAATTAGAGACGGTAGTGACCTTTGGAACCTATTTTTTTACATATATCTTTATTAAGGAGACTTTTAGCCCTGGGCTGGTTCGTCTCCGGACAGGGGGTATCCCAAAGGGAGAGAAGGTACAGAGTTTTTATTTTACGGAGTTGAATGATGGTTGCGGTTCCAGAGGGGAACTTATTTTGCCTAACTGTTCTATGTTGCTGTCATCTTTCGTGTTTTCTGTTTTGTTTTGAGGACCCCAGCAGAACCCCACCGGTAGAAGCTGCCTCCGCACCCACTACCGGCAGGGAATGCCGGGCCTACTGTAATAATATATATGGATTAAACTCTCTTGTAGATTCCGGTCTCCTTCGCGAAACACCGTCGTTTTGAAGGGCGTCTCGGGCAATTTATTAGTATGTGCTCGACCGTCAATGTTATTCTGCAGGTGTCGCATCTTTGGCGGAAGTTTCCGCCACTGCTGCTCCCCATGTTGTCTCTGGTCGTTAAACCTTGGGACATCCGTCCAGGGAAGGGTTACCTTTTTAGTCTTCCGAATGAAGAGGTCTCTCCTGGTGAACCATTTGCGGTCCCATGCCGTCGTGAGGTTGACTTGATCCAAATTTTCAGGTCCTGTCTGGGGACCGAAGTGTTGGCGAGTCGGCCACTTCGTCCAATGGCTACGAGGTGGTCTGCTTCTATGTTTCCGGCAATTCCGCAGTGTCCTGGTATCCACATGAAAGTGGAGCCAGGGGGAGTGTGGTTTTGTATGTCCTGTTTGGAACTTATGAGAACTTATGTAGTACAATAGAAGCATGCTATGTACACGATTTCATCTACAATGCATCACTGCGGAACGAATTGATCTACCATCTTTTATGTACGTCCAAACGAAGTAAAGGGCATGTTAGGCGGACTGCGGAACCGAAATAAAAGTTGTACTTCCAGAGTAAACTGAACCCAGCCCTATGTATTCAATGTGTTTTTATGCAGCTGGCCGTGTTGCCAGTTTAAGATTTATAATCATAGTTTAGTCAATTGACGTTTCGTATCTCGTGAAATGTGCACGTAAACAACAATTCTTCCCCTTTCGAAAGTTAACAAATTCTATATAAAAAAATAGACCATTGTCAAACATTTCAAGATTCAATTTATACAATTCCTTAGTCATAGTAATAATCTTCGAGCTTTTTTTCTTTTCTAGCTCTCTTTGACCTTCTTGGTTCCTCCTCCTTTGTTGCCAGCTGCTTCCTTTTTCTTCCCCCCTTTGGGGCCCTAACCTCGTCGGATCTGTCGTCTCCTGCTCTTCTATCACTAGCTTCCTCTATCGTAGTACTGTCGGGTTCACAGTTCGTGTCCGTTCGTGGTGTATTCACCGTCACTACCAAGTTCGGGAGGTCCCAGACAACCTCCCGGTACGGCCTAAGCTGAGAACAGTGCGCCATCGCGCTTACGCTTCCAATTTGTACCAAACGAATCCAAAATGTCCCCGCTAACCTTCTCCTTTAGTTGCACATCCGCTTGGGCCATATTTTCCGGGCTGATGCTGTAGCTCTTGCCGGATGCACCAACACTACTCCCACCCGAGCTGAGTTCCAACCCATCGAAGGAGGTGTTCAAGTTCTCCGGCAGCGGATCGTTCTGCTTGAAGCGGCTTTCTTCGATGAAGCGTTGCAGTTCTTCGTTGTTTTCTCGCAAGCACTTGATTACCTCGTCCTTTTCGGCGATGCACTCTGTAACCAGTTGGTTACAATGCGTGGATTTTCGTTTGTATAAGTTGTTGTTGTTTGGAAAATTCACGTTTTGTTAAACCTAAAACAGTAGACACACACAAGAGCGAGAGGGTTTGTGCCGCTGCAAACAACAACGTAACGTTACTGAAGGGAGGAATATCTTGGCTTTAAAATAACAATGGATGCGCAAATTGGATGATGAATAGCTAGCCATCTTAGATCCCTTAGAATCCCCCGTCCAGAACTGTAATTTTCATCAGTCACATACTAGTGATATAGTATTTAGGTTTGTACCAGTGGTTCTACATGGCATCAACACAAGAATCCAAATGTATGCGTTCCTCGATGATGGTTCAGAGTTGACTTTGATGGAGGAAGATTTGTTGGAGCAGTTGAAGATAAATGGAACCAAGCAGCCACTTTATCTAAAGTGGACGGGAGATACGCGGCAGATGGAAGAAAACTCACGCAAGTTGGATTTGAAAATATCCGGAATTGAAAGGTCCAACAAGAAATATACGCTTTCTGGAGTTCAGACAGTGCAAAAGTTGAATTTACCAAGGCAAACGTTAATGATGGGACTCCCATCATCAGAGCTGGCAAATGTCATTTTCAATGAAACATCTCACGCGATATTTACATAGATACTTCTGTCACTATCATTGGATGAGAAAACGATGAAAGAGATTTTCTTCAAAATCTCATCGAATTTTTTGTCATGACAGAACGTGATAGCATAGAGGTAACTCTAAGACCACTGGGTCCCGAAGAAAATCATTATTATTTTTGGCTCACTCAGTACCAGAACAACGGTCCCAAGCAGTCCCAAGCTATTTCACTCACCCCTGCATGTTCTGAATGAATCCACACACCCCTGATGTTATCTGTCAAACTTTCATAGCGAATCAAAACAAACATAGTGTAGTAATAGAATTTCAACTAGAATAGGGTACGTTAATCGTTTGCTTGGGACCAATAGGCTACTAAAGTGGTGAGCCAATTTAAAATCGTTAGTTTCGTATTGATTGTTGGTGATAGTGTTGTGATCATCGGAATTACCAGCTCATTTAATCCTATTAAAGTAATTTGTATCAGAGAAATCTTAAAAAATATATTCACTCTACCGATTACATACGGTTGTTTGCTTAAATTCATCTAAATCAGTTAGAAATGTTGATGTGAAAATCGCATAAGAAAAATTCTCATGAGTGCTTGATCATTGAAAAATGACAAGAAAGCTAATGATAGGTAGTTTCGTCTCGTGATAGTGAGAGGACCTGTTTTCTCATCGTAACATGACGGCCGTGATATTTACCAGCTCTGGATGGGAGAGCTCTGGGTCTCGTCCAAATCAACCAGTAACAGTTAAAACAAGGATTGGGTGAATCACATACCTGAGCTGCGAAGTACAACCGGCAAGTAATTTTGTAAACTTTCACCTTTTCCACACTGGCCGCTGTGACTGCCAAAATGACGAAGAACTTTACCAAATGATGAAAGATTACTTCTCATTGGATATCATGGGTGTGGTAAATTCAGCAGTCATTGATGTCGGCAGAAAATACAAGAGTGAGATGCTGCAACCGTTGACAGTACGGAAAGGAAACCGTAGGCTAGGTGAAAGGCCCATATCAACTCAGTTCCCCTACAGCGGTATTACACAAGTTCAGGCAATCCAAGGTTGCTCTTTGTGGTGATCTACGCGAAATGTTTTTGCAGCTTCTCATGCTCGATTTTACAGTAGCAGCAGAGGCCATCGTTAAGTGTCATTACGTGGATGACACGTTGGTGAGCGTATAATCCGAAGATGAGGCGATTCAACTTGCTTTAGACGTGAAAATAGTACATCAGAATTCTAGAAGAATCCTGGAATCACTCATCGAAGCAAGCTCAGATGCAGACGGAATGAGCTTGGACTTGAGCAGTGTGCTGGCTACCGAAAAGGTGTTTGGTCTATGGTGGTGCACGGACTCTGATTGCTTTACGTTCTGCTCGACATAGTCCTGAATTACTGGCAGGAACTCATGTTCCCACAAAGAGGGAGCTTTTACACACATTGATGATGGTTTTTAACCCGTTGGGATTGATAGCGCATGTTCTTATGAACCTGAAAGTTCTACTACAGGTAGTTTGGATGATCGAATTCCAGATAAACTTTTCCAAAAGTGGTTGGTTTGGCTAAAGGTGTTACCGCTTGTACAGAAGGTGAAGATTCGTCGTTGTTTTCGGTCGGTGACTTCAGCAAACTCAAGCACCACAGTACAGATGCACACGCTCCGAGATGTGAGCTTCAAGGTGCAGTATTAGGAGTCCGAATGTCGAACAGTGTCATGGAATTGCACACTATCACTGTATCTAAACGTTAATTTTGGACAGATACCTGGAACTTGCTGTGCTGGCTGAACTCGGACCATCGGCGCTACAGCCAGTATGTAGGGTGTATGATAGGTGAAATTCTGGGGACCACGGATGTAAATGACTGGCGCTATGTACCGTCGCGGAAGAATGTGGCAGACGATGGAACGAAGTGGGAGCGGATGCGAGCGGACGAGCAGTAGGTAGTTCATATGCCCTGTTTTTTGCGAATGCCTGAGTAAGATTGGCCACTTGCACCATTTGCAATTGGAGAGACTGATCTTGAGCTTCGACCTCATCTGCTTCTCCACTGTGAATCCATCGAGCGAGTCATATCAGCTGAGAGATATTCGACCTGGAAACGAGTACAGCGAGTAGCAGCATTTGTCCTGCGCTTCATCAGGAATCTTCGCAACAAAGTCAAAGGGCAATCTAGCACAATCGGCCCTTTGGAGCAGGTCGAGATAGCGGAAGCAAATAATCTTCTTTATCGCGAAGCTCAGATCGACTGTTATTCCGATGAAATCGCTCTTCTTCGAAGTCAGCCGCAGAATATTAGCAAACACCTTCCAAAGCCCTATTTTTTCGCGTTGCACCATACATCGATGCAGCTGGTGTTTTGAAGAATAGGACCAGAATTCCCACCAGCAGCACTACCACGATCAAAACAACCACATAAATCACACAACCGCAATCAACGCATTTCGCCTTCGCTACTCCATCTATCGGCTCAATTCCACATTTCGGAAGGTTCGATTCAAGTGTCAAAGATGTAAGATTGAACGCGCTTAAGCAATACCACCGGCCATGGCCGAATTACCGTCCGCAAGACTAGCTGCCTTCGCCAAACCGTTTTCCTACATACGTATAGATTATTTCCCCAGACAACCAGAAGTCGTATAACAATGTACAGACAGTATCGTAAATAACTACAGTTTAAGTCAATATCGCATATAAGTATGACATACTGTGACTATGGCATGACCAGACATTCCCGGGTAACTAGCTCAGTAGCATGAGACCCACGAACTGTGTCGCAGGGCCGGCATGTTACTGGGTATTCGGAGGGGCTACGCGGACAAAGTATGAAACACAGGAATATTCAAATTTTCTAAAACATTTATTTGTCCTTTTCTGTGGCGTGTGGGTGTGGGTTTTCACATAAATGTGGCGTGTATGCGAGAGTTTATGAACGGTAGGGTACTCACTGTTGCAGCAGATTCTCCTTGCTTGGGCGTCGCGACACTGGCGTTGGCCCACACGACTGCTCCTGCACTACCGTGTGGCCGGAAACTTGCGGCGCGGGCTGCAGACAGTGTAGTTGCCGCTTTGGGAGAATGGCGGATCTGGTGCCGTTCATCAGCCACATACGGCTCAGCAGGCGTTGCTGGCTCGTTTGGCTGGCAGGCGTCTTCCGTCGTTGACAAAATCGGCTGACCGTGGCATGGCCACCTTGGTCGAGTCGAGACGGGACCCTTCTTGGCAATTAGGGCACCGGCCTGAGGGAATCGTCCCTGACGGACGATCGAGGATCATTTACTATTAGGCTCGGAAGCCATCTTGACTTCCGAGCCGAGCCGTGTAAAACCGTTTTGCTTACGGTACGAGGTGTACATGTTGTACAAAAGCACAAGAAGTCCTCCCTTTAGTATCGTTCGAGTGTTTTTGCAGCGGTACTAACCCTCTCACTGCTGTGTGTTGCCTTCTGTCTTTTAAATTAAAATACGTGAATTTTCCAAACAACAACAACTCATACAAACGAAAATCCACGGATTTTAACCAACTGGTTACAATACATCGCATTATGTTTAAGTTAAATCGTATAGAATGCAAATTTCCTACTTATATGCGATGAATCATTTTTCCATCAGGTTCGCGTCTAGTGATTTCCCAAGGAACCGTTCACGGCCACCAGCTACCGCCCGTCCAGTCTTGGGCGTATCCAACGAGGCATCCTTCAGCTTGCTCACAATCTCCGACAATGGCGAGAGACCAGCAGACGAGCACTTTTTCAACCCGTAAACTCGCTGATTCACGGCAACGTTGGCCACCGAATCACCACCAAAACTCACGGCGAACACATTATCAGCACTTTCCCCTGCTAGTTTACCAACCGGACCGTGTTCAAACTCGCACACGATGACGAGCCTCTCGATAGAACTACACACCGAAAGCGTGACATCCGAACACGGTGAACCGGCCTCCCGGTAGGCAATGAAAATCACAGGCACACTAACACACCACTGGTTACAAAAAAAAAACACACACTCGTGCAAAGAAACGGATCCAATAAACGTCACTCTCGCGAAATCAAACCTGTCGTCTTCGAACGGCAAAAAAAGGAACTCGATGAACAATTTTGTGATATGGAATTACCACTGAAAGTTAACCGGGAATGCACGAATTTCACCACACTTAACTGCGAAGCACTTTTGATACACTTTCGGTATCAAATTCGGTCGAAAACAATTATTTTGTAGCTTCATTAGATGGGTACAAATTATTGGTTAATATCAAAACCTACAAAAGCTTCACACATCATTGTACAGATTTATTTTGATGAAAAAAGTTAGAGGTAATTTAATGTAAGTACATATGTACATGTACATACATTAAATATAGAGTGAAAGTCCATGAAAACACTAGAATTTTCATAAACAAAATAAGAGTAGACAATATTTTAATATGTGAATACATGCATACCTCTATATAACGTAACTGTCACTTTTGACTTCTATCGTCGATTTCCCGCACATTATCATTCAAACAAGCAAAATAATATCACCATCGGACAGATTTAGATAGAGCTGGAATTACGGCGTAACAGCTTTTGTAAACAATGATTTCTATCGATGATTTCTAGGAACTAAAGGCACGCCCACGCAGACCAACATAACCATCGGAAAAAAGTCTTTCCCTACCCGATGAGGAGGTTGGTTTGCGTGGGCGAGCCTTGAGTTTCTAGAAATCATCGATTGAAGTTATTGTTTACAAAAGCTGTTGGGTCCTAATTCCAGCTCTATCTGAGATAATCCCCCATTTATTGGTAATATTCGTTTGTATGGTTCAATTGTTATTAGCGAGATATTGACGATGGAAGTAAAAAGTGACAGTTACGTTATATCGAGGTATACCTGTAGTAACTTTATACAAATGTAAACATTAGGTCAATCTTAGGGTGACCATCTTACCTCGACCTACTATATTTAAAATAGCCTCGTTCCATGATGATACGTTATCCGTTCGAGGGGTGAGCCAAACTGGTGCCGCAACTTCACTATTTCACTTTTCTCACATTCTTTAGCTTTATGAACATCCAATTCACAAATACTTCAACGAAGAACACCGTGATTGCAAGAGCAATAAACCCTACTACTGCAATGAAAACCGGTGTCAACGCTTTCAAATTGATGGTTTCTATTCCTATTTCGCTTGGAATAAAATTCCTATTTCGGTATCGCGCAACGTACGCTAATTGTGATTTAAATTTCTGGTAGCTTAGTCCGTAGTTGACCAAACCATTTTCGACAAACTGCATCGTAATGCGATTGAAAGGCTCCTCAAAATGCGAAGTCGCGGGAACGTACATTGCGGCGTAGAACTCGAACGCTACTTCAGGAATCACATATAGCAGGTCTTCACCCGTTTTCTCATCGCAGAAACGTGGAACGAGATCATCTATTATGTCATATGGGAAAAGAACAGCAAAGGACCTCGTTAATACTAGTTTTGATAAAATCTTATCCGCTGCCATTTCTAATGGTGCAAAGCGGCTTCTTAGGTTGTACTTTTCTACCCATTCTTCGTTAAAATTTATAAAATAGTTCATTGATGGATCTATGGACAAATTCAGAGGACTTTCCATAAGCTCCTGAATGGTTTGAATATCACGACTATTATCGGCCATGTTGACCTCTTTGATCATATTGCCCTGAAACACGCTATAAACGATCAGTTGAAACCAAATCAAAGTCATCCAGTAAATCCGTTGAGATGATGTTTCTCGAATGTTGACGGACAAATTATTCATTGCTGCGAATGTGTCAAATAACGTTGAGGTCCATGATGTCTTCGTACGGTGGTTAGAAGGCGTTAGCTTTGAACCGCAATATTCAAAAAATTTGAAGCCCAACGGGAACCAAATTAGGCAGAAAAAGTATAAAGCCATAAACTCAGGTGACAATGCAATCACACGGACTCCTCGCCTTACATGTTCGTAGTAGTTTTTGGGCACTACGAACATGAACCGTGGCACCATGAACGGAGAGAGGAATCGTATGTTGGTGGTTCCTGATAGAAGAGCTATAATTCTTGAATTTGCCAGCTCTGCTCTTTCGTATTCAATTTCTCCGAGGGCTCCCACAAATGTTCCGTTGGGCAAACGATATCCATAATTCATATAATCGCCAACGTTTGTTGGAGTCAAGTTGAGCATTCCGGTCATTGCATGCAGAATAGGAAGGCTCACTAAACGAACCATTGGATTGTCGTAAACGTAGTCATTGCTTTGCTGTTCCATGGATTCCAGCAGGAACATAGTAACCTGAAATGAAGTCGAGTTTGAAACTTGTTTATCTAACAGAAATATGTTATTATCAGACCTTGAATGTTTGATTATCAATCTTCATAAAATGTTTTGCGTTCTCGATTTGTTGATCAATTCCTTGAAAGTCGGAGGCATTGAAGTGTTTGACTTGGTTTTCAGCATCCAACATAGAAATTGTCAGCTCAGCACCATCACCAATGTTCAAGACAATTGAAAGGTGAAACAGGTTTAAAGCTCGTCGGAGAACACCCAAGATTTGGTCGTTATTTCCTTTCATTACCATCATAGCAAGTCTTTCAGATATACGCTTTTCGATAAAGTGATCCGTAATTGAGACCTTTGTCTCTTGAGTACCGGTCAGCAATACGCCATCAATGTTCATATGTAGCTTTTTGTTGTCTGTTCGATTCAAGCATACATTATTTATCACTTAAAACATTGCTAAAAGGTGCATCTTACAGTTTTCCGGTGAATCGTACGTTGTATAGCTTAACGAATCACCAAATACTTGACATCGAATAGTACACATTGACCATTCGGTGAACATAGGGAATATAGTAATCGCTGAAACATTCTAGAAGGAGTGATTGTATAATTTATAATAACCATTAATTCAGCTAATTTTATTCAGCCTATAAGCAAACTAATGAAGCGAGATGTGTTTGACTCATTTGTTGCTTGATGGTCAACTCAAAAATGATGGTCAAAGCAAGCCAACGAAAAAGTTAGGTACACCGGAGCAAGTGAAAACGCGGGGTAATGCTTAGGTGTGAGTGCGATAAAACGGGAAACGGTCATCAGAAGTACAGTCGCATTTCGCTCGTTCGGCTATCTTTAAGTGGGCTACGTTTTAGTTGGGCTCCCATTAGTTGGGTTGCAGGCCACCTAAATCGAACTCAAACATAAGTTCTGATAGTGCTGATTCCATTTCGAAGGGCTCATAGAAGAAAAAATTTTGTTTAGCCCAACGAGTGAAAGATGACTATATCCCACTTACCACGCGTTCTCACTTGCCCTGGCGTACCTTAGGTCAAATTTTGAAATGGTGTCGCACTTATACTTTTGAGTGTGCAGCAAGCAATACACATCCAGTGAATTGAATGTAGGCTGTGAATTCTACTTGTAACTATTTTTAGTAAAGAATGTACACGAAGCCTGTCATGGTGGTTACCCGATTTTTATTATTAATATTATGTTTTTAGTTCACTCCTTTTATAAAATGTGCGCACCAAAATGTACGTGGGAACGCCTATGGGAAATGTTCTGTCTTCATCCAGATTCCGCAAATGCTTTTAAATGTCGTATGAAAATATTCCAAACATAAAAAAAATCTGCTCACAAATGTGCTATGAAAAATGTGATGCGCCCATCAGGTACATATAGTTTCGTTTGGTGACCGGACATTCATCAATACGTTAGCCATATGGGTGTTTGCTATAGGTACGATTACCATAAAGACGATAGCCATAATAGAAGATAGCCATAAAAGACGATAGTCATAATTGTTTTTGTTGGATGTTTTAGTATTGAGCGATAGTTGAATTAATTAAAGTTGAATTTACCACACTGGTTGATACAGAACTGTTATACATTCACCACATATAGAAGACACTCACTAAATACTTACACTACTAGTACCTAAATGAACACTCAACACGAATAGAACACGAAGAGACAGTACATGAATTCCTAGGTATGATAGACAGATAACGACACAGTGAATTTAGTTAGCCAACCGATAGCGAACGAATAAAGGCAAAAATATATAGACGCGCGCTTTAAAAACCGTTCGGTTTCTATTTAAATCATATGTGAATTAATTAAAGTTGAATCCGAAAGTGTTATTCTTGTGGGTGAACTCTACAAATTGGCGCAGCCGGTACGATTCGAAGCTTGCTGAAGGATTCGGAAAATCAGTACCATATTTGGCCCCATTTAATGATGCTACTGATGCTTCTAGCCTTCTCCAAGAATGGGAAGAATGGCATAGAGCCTGTGAAATTGTTTTGGAACTAAAACAGCTACAATCACAGCACGAAAAACTCCTTTTTCTGTTGGCTCGAGGTGGAAGAGGTCTGCAACGAATTTATTATCATCTTGCACAAGTTTCGGGAGAAATCTATCCAGAGCCAGTGAAGATTCCCCTCGCACCACAAGATGTTCCAGAGTATGACAATGCTGTCAAGCGTCTTAATGCTTTCTTCGTGGGAAAACGGAACGAAAGAGTTGAACTGGAAGTTTTTCGTTCACTTCGACAGACAGCTGGAGAATCTTTTAATCGTTACATGCTGAGATTGCGCACTCAAGCCGCATGCTGTAACTTTCAAGCTCGTAAGGAAAAGGAATTGCTGCAGCAGATAACCGCAATTGACGAGAGAGTGAGAGACAAAGGCCTCGAGAGCACCATGAATTTGGATGAACTTGTAAACCCCAAGCAACATTGCAAGTTTTATCGTGGTTTTATAGCAGTCTACAAGTCTAAATCGTGTTCTACATAACCCTCATAAAACCCAAATTGTTACTTGAATGTGATTAATCGTGAAGTTTTGGTAAAACAGAAGGAGAAAATGCAACCCTAAACGGTGCGGTAGCATTGGTCAAACAGGATTGTGAAAGGAAGACGATGCCAGTAAGAGGATTTACTTCACATTCGTAGAAGGGTGAGCGTAAATGGGAAAGTAGTGGACGATCAGCCACTGAATGCAGTCGTTGTGGCTCTTGGCGACACCTGCGAGAGTCGAAAGATTGCGTTGCGCGAAATGCTACGTGCCATAAGTGTGGTGAAATAGGGCACTTTACGAGGAAGTGCTCAACCGGCTGGAATAGAGAATCTAAAGCTCGTTATTCCTGGAAGAAAGCGGGTGCTACCAATGCTTTGAGGGATGAAATTATCGTGGGATTGATTGATCAACTGCAAGAGTTTCTGATAGACTCTTGGGCGATAATTAACACAGTTACCAGGATCCACTGCAGGTTGTGGTCATCTTTGAAGCATGGGTTACGATAAATGAAACGAAGCCTTAAAGTTATGCTGAGTTTTTTGTCATTCAAGGAGCACAAAGATCGTTGCTCAGCAAAAGAACGGCTGGGGACCTGAAAGTTTTGAAAGTGGGGCTTGAGGTTCAAAGAATAATAACAGAATAAACTTCCATTCCCGAAATTCCCCAACGTACAAGTGACATTATCTATTGACCGTACGGTGCCCCCTAGGAAGATAGCTTACCTAAGAATTCCTATAGTGATGGAAGAGAAAGTCAATCAAAAACTTTAGCAAATGTTAGACACTGATATTATTGAACCCGTTTTTGGTTCTGCCGAGTGGATCTCACCTATGGTGGTAGTTCCAAAGGGAACTAACGATGTCCGTATATGCATTAATATGCGATACCCTAATCGGGCTATAAAGAGGGAACATTATCCGCTACCACTTATCGATACACTTCTCAATAAGCTAAAGGGAGCGGTTGTATTTTCCAAGCTTGACATTACATCAGCATACTATCATGTGGAATTACACCTAGAATCGCGTGAAATAACCACCTTTATGACGGGTAAGGGCCTAATGCGATTTAAGCGATTGATGTTTGGCATTAATTGTGCGCCCGAGATTTGTCAGCGGATAATGGTGAAATGCTTGCTGTTATCAAAGGCGTGGTAGTTTATATCGATGATGTTGTTATGTGGCTTCAAAAGGTTCTGGATGTTTTTGAAGCAAACCATGCTTTGCTGAATAAAGAAAAGTGTTTATTTGGAGTGGAAGAGCTCGAAATACTAGGTTTCAAAATTAGCGTGAATGTAATTTGCCCAACAGACGACAAAGTTGCGGCTATTCGGAGCTTCAGGATGCCAGAAACGTAGGAGGAAGTGCGCAGTTTTCTGGGGTTGATTTATTTTGTCCGACAGTTTATGGCCACATCTATCATCTAGAACCGAAGCCCTTCGACAGTTTATCAGAGGGGAAGTGGAATCATTCGGTGTAGACCAACAAAAAGCTTTTGATGACCTGCGCAATGAGCTTTCGAACACCGTACACCGTTTGGGATTTTTTGACCCAAAAGATCCAATCGAGTTATACGTGGATGCATCCCCGGTTGGTCTTGGCGCTGTTTTAACCCAAAAAGACAGTTTGAACAAACCAAGGATAATCTGTTTTGCCTCAAAGGGCCTTACGAAGACGAAGAGAGTTTACCCGCAAACCACACTCAAAAAATTGCACACGTCACCATCATGTGTCTCACACCTAATTTTGCGCTTATTGTGAAACACATCCATTTCATGTGTGAATCTTACGCTATGAACCATGCCTGAACACTATGGATTTGAATTGTGACACACTTGGATTCTATGTGCCTCATATGGTGATATCAATAGCTTTGCACATAATAGTTCAATATTCTACTTTATCGACTTCTACTATACCAACTCTGAAAATGAATCGACAAATATATAAACAAATTTCAGAGGCCAGAGCTTTCAAATATCTTTTTAATGGGTCTGATTTGGGATTCGATCATGGACTGTTGGGGTGTGCTGCTGTCGGAGTCTTCGTTCGATCTCACTGTGCCACGGTTGTTCTCATATATGAGGCGGGTTGATAGGATAAAGTCACAACTCTTGTTTTCGATCCATCTGTTTTGAACAGTAGTGTGATTCAATGTGCAATATACTTGAATAGATAGTGAAAGATTTTCAACTTTTCAAAGTTTGAAACATTAGAAATTAACGTGTATAACACGTTGAACTAAGGTGAAATACACTTAAAGTAAATGTGATTGTGCATTTAAAAAATCAAGTGTTTAAACACTTCAATCAAACGTGTAGAATTTTTTGAGTTACATGTATTTGTTCGGAGTACACTTCACTGTGTTTACCGATCATAAGACGCTCAAATATATTTTTGGTGGAAAGCACCAGGAAGGTAAACGTGCTTGTACGCGAGCCGAGGCATGGGCATTGCGGTTACAGCCTTTTGATTTTAAGGTGGTACATGT